GGGGGGTGTTGTCTTATTTTACATTGCAATCTTGTTGCAGGTGATCTTGGGCCGTGCATGTGCTTAAAAAATGCAGAACCTGCTATGGATAAACTTTCTGTGACACAAAGTTTTACCGAATGTCAATTTCCGAAGACAACAACAATTCATCTGACAAGTTCCCCAGACACACTGCAGGATTAGAATTAGTACTGGACGAACCGAAAACATCCGGTCTGTGTTGTTCATGAAGTAGATTTAAAGTTTACACCAGATACATTTGGTTTCACAAAAATGTATCACCAGTATACCTAAGAACAGATACATTTTATCAGATGAACCCAGTCTGTATCAATATATCAAATAGACCTTTGCTTTGTTTCATCAAAGTTGACCATGGAAGTCCATTTAGCGCCTATAGCATTTGGCGCCCGAAGAAAAGATCTGACCCTGCAAAGTCGTATGAAATATAGTCGCGATCAGAAAAGCAGTTTGGTTTAAATCTTAGGAATAGTTTGACTCAAATGATTAGGTAAAACTGTGTTAAATTGGCAGCTTTCCGTGTGAGAAAATAATTATGGTCACCATCAGATGAATCGGGCCAATTCAAAGAGGAATTTTATGAGAAAATTTTAGGAGCGTGCCTTAGATATAAATCCGAAAAAAAACGCTCTGCAAAGATGTATTTACTGTATTGTGAAACCTGCGATAAAAATAAACATCGTTTTGCTTTTACTGTAAAACTAGTATGAGCTTGATAAGCAAAACATGAGTGTTAGTAAATTTGAACACACTATTCGTGAAATAGGTCAAAAGCGTCGTTCTCTCATGACGCCATGGCAGCCAATTTGTGGACCAACGGAGAGTAGAAACTCCGGATGAGCGTATTTGGTCTAGTAAACGTCAAATGGAGGGCTAGAGTCCACTTTTACCTAAAATATAATTTTTGGCTCCCGTTTGAATATGTCTTGTCCGCCAGCAAGATAATATACCAAAGTGCAAAGGATCACTTTAGCAAAATATTGCACTTGACAACATGGAGCCTGGAACTATTGGTGACTTTCAACAATTGTATAAAAATTATTTTTTTTTAGCATCATCCTGATCTTGGCCTTTTAGACTTCCTTCTGTGGGATGAATAAAGCTATATCCAGCAAGGAAGAAAATAACAAATGATACGAACCTTATATAGCAAGTCAAGGATTGGCTCCTGGCTCCTAAGGTAAAATTCCACAGGTATGGCATGCTTCTAACCATGCTGCGACGGGAAATACGCTTGACTGTTCATGCTTACTTTGTTGAGTTATGAAGAGGATATGAAGACAATGACTGTATAAGTTGTATTCCATCCATGACGAAATCTGTTATTTGAAAGCTATTATTTTTTTATTTTGGGACAACCCTTGCACACCTCAAGCGAGAAGCAGAAAAGCAACTGAAGCTGTGCTATACTGTAAGCAAATAAGGGAAAGAGAAACACTGTTAAACTATTCTTGTTTATCATACAGAGACAGGTAATATCATATCAGAGCAACAGCGAAAAGCTAAATGCACCTTCCCGGA